AAAAAGGATCTCCACCCTATCTTTTAAACTGTAGCAAGGCATATGCTCCAATCAGTTACTAAGTTGCTAAAGAACTTTCAGCCTTAGTCATCAGTGTGTACTCAACTGTTGATGATTGCCAAAACCTTTACATAATTCAATTTATTTTTTGTTTTTGTTTTTTTAAGGAAAGAGTGACTAAATTATCTCCCCGTCCTCAGACTGAAGAAGAATTATCTGCCCTTTTTGAAGCTTCCATGAAACTGTATTAGATGTTCTTTTAAAAAAATAATGCTTTCTTCAATTGCATCTAACTCGCATGATGCAATTCAACTCATGACTGTCATATGAATGAATGTAACTCCATATTCTAAATTGAAGAAATCTTGCCCATTTCTACATTTATTTGCAATCCAAAATATTTCTGCTTCCTTTATTGGTCCCTGGAACTAATCACTGATGGTTCTCCCTTGCCTTCCTAAGAACTGTACAGTAATTCACTTCCTAGCATGTCACATGAAGTGGTCCAGATATCACAGATACAAAAATAAAACTTTACAAGTTCGGAAAGTGCCGTCCTCTATAGCCACTTCACATTCAGAACTCCCTTTCATACAAAGGATGCTTTGTGTTTTTTATGACTGCCTTGAACTCTTGGCTCAATGAGACTGCTATCCACCCATTCTGTGTAAGGACTCTTTTATGGCCAAATACCGGATGTGGGTCTGTAAGTCAATTTATGGCTTGTAAAAGAGGTTGGGAGGAGGTGAAATGCTTTCTGCTTACCCCAGATCAGTGTATCACTCAGCTAATAGGCATGCAAACTTCAATGTCAATATATGTCCACACTCTCTCGGAGAGCTTTTGCAGCTCAGACTTTTCCATGGGCTCTTAGGTCAAATGAGAGAAGGAAAAAGAAAGCATAATTGAATTGTTGGCGATTAATAAACACACACAACTGCCACCACTACACTTCTTTTGCCTCAGAAAAACCCAGTTTTAACAGCAGCTCAATATGTGTTAGGGCATATGCACACTACAAGATTGAAGGGCTTTGTCACAGACTCTAAGAAATGTAATTAGGGGATCTCTGTTTATGTTGAGCATCCTCAGGAAACAAATGCCCAAAGCTCTTAAAGCCACGATAGCTGTAGCAATTTGATGCTGGTTTAAATTTGGGGTAATAGATCCTTTCTTATTCAGTGTCGCAAGGCAGGATCACATGTGAAAGTACATATGTACAGTATGCACTATCCCTACCAAGTCATGAAACACTGAGGGCCAGCAGCAAACCTGATTGCCATTGGCTAAATGTTCGCAGGAAGTTGCAAGAGCCAATTCTAGCTCTCTAATAAGAGTACCTTTACAGATCTGTGCACATAATTTTGCTAATGTATCTGTCCCAACTACTCATTACATTTTCACAGGAACGTCTTAAAAATGTACTCTGTGTGGAGCAGATTTCCAGCCAGACTTACCCTGAGAAGGGGCTTGTTTTGTTTAAAAGTCTCATCCACATGGAGCAGCGAGGGCCCTCTGTTAGTCACCTCACTGACCTTTGAGCTGAATGTTGTGCTTTTAATGAGATACACAAACTTGAATGTTGGTCCCAGAGGCCTTAAGTTCACTACTTGGCATTCAGATGCTGATTTACAGCTGCAGCTAAAATGGGTAACACATCTTAAAGATTGATTGATTGTCAGGGTCGCCAGTGTGCGGCTGCCCCCTTTCCATTGTTGTGTCACTTGCTTCTCGGCCCTCAAAGGGCACCAGCCATTGTCTGACATAGTTGGTGTTGCTGTGGACACAGATTAGAATCTGACTCCTGCACTGTGTATATATCTTCGTTCTTCAGAGAAAGAACTGCTACAATACAAAACTGAGATTGGAAATCGTGGCACAAAAGCAGGGGCAATAAGGGAGATTTTCAGTCATTTAATTAAAAAGAAACACAAAACTTTTTCATCTCTAGATTACAAAATTAGATTCTTGGTGCTGGCTCCGGAGTACTTTAATTGTACAGACTAAGACCTGGGTTCAAATCTTCACTCAGCCATGAAGCTCACTGGGTGACTTTGGTCCACTCACTGCCTCCCAGTCCTAGCCTACCTTTCAAGGTTGTTGTTTGGATTAATTTAGGAGGGGGAGAACCATGCACACCATCTTGAGTTCCTAGGAGAAAAAAGGTGTGATATAAATGCACTTTTATAAATAAAATAATATTCTTCTCTTCTCACAATGCCAAACTTGTGTTCAAAGTTATGCCTTAAAATCCTGGGTTTGCTTTGCACCATTTTTCTTTTCAATGGTTTAATTGTGCAGCACTTCAGTTCACGGTCCCAGTCCAAAAATACCTGCACTTTATCCTTATCATACCGACAAGTTAATAGAAGTAGGCTCAGGTAGCTCAGTAAGGATCAGATTTACTGTTATGCAACTGAGTATGAAATCCAATGAGAATGATACCATTAAAGACTTAGATTTGATAACACACCCTGCCTGTTGGAAGGATATTAGATGGTGGCTTACTCTCTTTAGATAGTTGCTGCTGATTTTAAATCAGGACCAATGGCAGTAGTTTGCACGGTTAATAAAATGGGACAGTTCTAGGTTTCAGATATTCCTGGAGGCAACAGGCCATGGAAGCCATTCTCTCTCATTCTTGATGGGTTTATAATTAGTTATGGGAACTCCTCAAATGTCCAGAGGTCCTTCAACATTCCTTCATTTTGTTCAACTCTGACAGTTAAAATATTTCACTGAGCTTGGTTCAACTTAAAGAGATTCTGTGCTAATGCGTGAGAATGTTTCTTTACAGCAATATAATTACCTGGAAATAAAAGACTTCATCACATGTGAAGGGGGTTTCACAGTAGGAGGAGCAACAGGACTGTACTTCTGGCTCCACCCCTACAGTTCCAAGCCCCACCCCCTGACATCCGCACATAGAATAAATATTTGAATTCAGGAAGCCCATGCACATAGACTTCCCCTATGCAGGCATGGTGGGGCAAGGGTTAGGGCTACCATGTGAAAGATCACACTACACCAATGTATCATGACCCCACCAAAAAGTACCAAGAACATGGAGCAAGAATGTGGATAATAATTACCTAATGGTGGCCTTCAGTGCAGGAAAAGCTTATAAACACTACAGGGGTGTGGGAGAACAGTTCCCACAACACATTTCAGCAGGTAGGTTACAGCATCATCTTTTTGAGTTATGTGTCCATCAACTGTTTCACCAGACATTTTCTTTCCACCTCAAACAAGAGGGGAACCAAAATATTTATCTTCATACATGGAAAGAAAAATGTGGTTTGTATATTTGCAACAAAATAAAACTTTTTAAAAGTTTAAAAATATTTAATACATAGAAACCACTATATTGTGCCTTCCAGATAGAGAAATTCTGCATGGCAAAATTTTAATGGAAGCGGATGTTCTTTTCTAGGGTTATCTTCTTTAAGGAGTATCCAAAAATGAGCAGGTGGGGGAATAGACATTTTGTTTCAGCTTTCTATTTTTGCCTGTGGATCATTTTTCTGACCATTTGTAGAAGCTTGAAATCCCTGCTGCCTAACCTCCTCTGCTCAGCTCGCTGCTGAATAGATGGTGCACTGATCTTTTTATTGGTTGGTAATGGATTTGGTTTGATTGCTTGACACAAGAACAATAGAAGGATAAACAATTCCATTTGTGGCCATGAAATTCCCCATCTGTTTAGTGTGTTTGTGCCCGGGACAAACTGGACGGAGACAGATGAACTAGCCAGCCGAGTCTGATGTTAATGACATCAGTCATACAAGCAGAACATGTGGCACAATAAATCAAAAACTAATTGAACTTGGGGCTGATTATATTGATTGCTCCCTGAACATTTTAAATACTCCAGTGTTTTCTAGAACAGCTTTTCTCCCCCTTCCCAACAGATTTGGTACCATGGGACAGTTTGGAAACAAGGGGTACAAATCCTGTACAAATGTTGTTCCTGCTTTGTTTGTGAGTCCACAACTCTCATATAAAGCAAGAACTATAGTATTTGGCTCAAGCTCATGAGTTGAATGTTGATGTCCTCCCTTTAAAATTATATTGTATTGTAGTAGTGGCAGCAAGTTATATTTCCAGGGCATCAGGCACCTGGGATTGTGAATACCTGCTACAGTTTCTGACCCAGAAAAGCTAGACTAACCCTGTATGTGCATTTCACACACCTACAAACAAAATAAGTGTTTTTGTGTGTGCTTATGTGACAACTCAACCACTATTTTAAATAGACCCTTTCTCAAAAGATTAATATAAAATTTACAAGACACTAATCACTGTGGTATTCCCAGGATGAAAATGCTAAACCCAGGCACCTGAAGTCAATTCCTTGGCAACATAAGAATCAAACTGGGGGAGGGAGGGGCAGTGATTTTGGTGGGCCTAACTCCTGTGTAAGTGGGTGTAGCGTTTCACCTGGTGTCCGTTATTGGTTTTGCTTTTTTGTTTTTGCAAGGGCTCAACACCTCAGCAAACCAGGCCACCTATTAAAAGAGCTAAATGTAGATTTGAGTGCTTAAGTCCAAGCATCTATATTTGAAAACGTTGATCTCAGAGCTGAAAGACCTTATCCCACTGCCTTGTGAAACAAGAAACATTTTAAAGTAAAATATGTTCTTATTGCAGCATGTATTGGGTGTTTTTTTTTAATTGTCCATTTTGAAAATTATTCTATGTTTATTTTTTAAATGAGTATATGCCTAAAGTGAACAATAAATACTACAAAATAATGCCTGGTTCTGTCACTCCCACAAATCTTGTAAACCATCCTGTGATCTTCGGATGAAGGGTGGTATAGAAAATTAATTAATAATAATAAATGTATTATTTCATAATTCCTCGTCTATACACAAAATGCAAGCATTCCTTCAGGTCGCCACTTACTACTGGCAGAAGGTGCCTGTAACTTGTTTGGTAACAGAGAGAGGCTATGCAAATAAAATATTACTTGCATGGCTGTGGTTTTAAGGAACAGCAAAATCAAACCCTGGCGTGAGCAGAATTCATACAAAGGCAGACTGGGGTTGAAAATGTTGCAATGAAGAATGTAGAATGAGATGAGATCACAGCATCAGTCTCTCCTTTGTGGACGTGGACAATGATCACAGAGCCAGATGGGATTAGTGAAACCTATTTACCAGAAGTTCAGAGCAGTTGCATGAAGCCGATAGGCAGCCAGGAGGGAGAGGTGAAAAATGCACCAGATTTACAGTTGCAGTGATGAAAATTTAGAAGTCTTCACTGTGATTTCTTCCAAATGTGAGTACCACGCAACCAGAGCTATTGCCAGGGGTTCAGTGTTTATTGAAATGGAATGTTAGGGGGAAACCTTCAAAATGGTAAATTCAGATGTGTGCTCACTGTATTGTACTTGCTGTGTAGTGATCTCTGATTCCCCAACTCCTCCCCCCCTCCGTTCGCCCTTTCCTTGGAGAAAATGAAAGCAGAAGTCTAGATAGGCTAGGCAGTGGAAGTATTTCTACAGAAACAAACTGTGCAATCGGTGTGCTTAATTCCATGTGGCTTTGTTCCTAGGCATCCAATATTACCATTAAGATGAGAAATCATAAAGTTAGGAGTATTGAAAAATGAAGCCCTGAATAGTTAATATGTAGAAAATGACTTTATATGGCTACGACCTACTGGGTCAAAGGAGATAGCATTTTCAAATTTGTGTTCTGGGACTGATTGTACATTTAACCTTAGCATTTACTTGTCACGAAGAGCAAAAGTCAGACAAAGATCAATATGCATTCAGGAGAACAATAGTTTTTCAACACCATGTGTCCGAAGGGAGATCGGTTTCTCATGGGAAACTCTGTACGGAAAAGTGTAGTCTTAATATTTACTTGCAAGCCCCAGTTGCTCTTTTCAGATTTATTATGATGATGTTTTTATTAAAATGCAAATGAAATTATGATTGGGAGCCCAAGCTTATTATCCTTGGAGTTCTTTCATACATGCGCACACGCACACACAAATATCTTTATAAAAATGGATTTTGATTGTGTGGTGTGTGCTTTTCAAATTACCCCCAAATTTGCTTCCAGTTCCACTATCCCCTTTACTGCTAATGGGGTGCAATGTTGATTGTACAACCAAAGCCCTATCTCACAGCTTCACCAAACCACTACACCCATACCAGGAGAGCTTGGTTTGTTAGTGGAAAACGCATCATGGGGCAGAGGGTCTTTATTTTACCCCATTCATTCCAGAGAACCTAATCCACCCTATTTTCTAGGCCTGAGTCAGAAAACTGGATGTAATGATTTTCTGGCAGGGTTCCCACTATTTTAACATTACTTTAGCAGGAAGAAATTCAACAGGCAAAGCTCTTCTTGGCCTGAAGATGCAGGAAAAGCTAATCTCAGTTGCAAATCTGTCTGTTGCACAATTGCTTAAAGGCAACAGTCTAAAGGCAGGGGGATGAGGGGCAACCCGAGCTTTGACTGAAATAGGAAGGATTTCAAAGTAGTTGTGCTTTTTTAATGGCCAAGTCTAGTTCTTATTTAAGGGAATCATTTGTAAGGAGGTCAGGGCAGAAGGTGTATTTGGGAGAGGATATCCTACAAATCTGATTTTGCGAGGTCGGGGGGGGGGGCAGTCCCAGAAACGTTTTCTGCACAAGGCATCAGACTGATAGGATGATCTCATGAAAGTGAAGGCCCCTGTAGCTGATATGCAAAAGAAAGAAATCTGGCTAGGAAATTTGGCAAGTGAAGTTTTTCTGAACCAGGCAGCACTATAGCAAGGCAACCCCGTTCCACTTGTACCTGTCTTAAGGTGTACCTGTTTGTATCATATCCCTCTTCACATACTTAGAAGCACTTACTGACACAAGATGTGTCGGTACCCTTCAGTACATAATTTGATGGACCATTTGTCTGATTCAGTATCAAGCAGCACCTTATGCCTTTATTTCATGGCAGGCCAAAGTGAATTGTCAGCTTGGCTCCCATCTTCATGAACAACTGTTTCTTAAGCAGCCTATTCAAGAAGTATTACCTCTGTTAGAACTTTTCCTTACTTTGTCTTTGGTAAGGCAATTTGCTGCTTTCCTCGCCTGCAGATGTACAGCATTTTGGCTGGGGAGATTACAATGGGCAAGCTAAAAATATGCCAGATGGATATTTATAAAGCACTCATTGCTACTTAATCTGGAGCATCATTAATGTAATTAAAAACTGCATTCAAAAAAGAATGAATATGCAAATATGTTTTCATTGTCCTCTGCTTTCAATAAGATGCAAGGAAAACTATATAAAGACTGCATATATGCTTAAAATCTTTCTAACACCTCTGTTTCGTTTAAACTTCTGTGACTGATGCATGTGAACCATCACTTGCTCCATGTAATATTAGCTGTTTCTTCCATGGCTTTGTGACTGTACGGAGTTATTTTATTGAATGACTAGCTGATTAAATTAAGAACCACCTTAATGATTGGGAATGGGTACTGTTCTGATTTAAGCCACATCCTCAGAAAACAAGAGATGGGGGCTCTCTTTTTGTGTGTGAGTATTTTCATCCCAGTTAACAGGTTGCAACAGATCAGAACAACACAGAAAGAAAATGCAAAGCAAATAAGACTAAATCAGGAGCACAACAACATTCTACAGAATAAGCAGAACAATTATATTCCACGATTAAAAGTTTAACAGACAAAACAGCTTTTACTTGGTGCCAGAGTAATGGGAACCCACATATAGATTGCTCTCAAGAAAGGCTTACCTGGTTGCCAGTGTTGTGCTTTTTTTAAAAAAAAAGCCCCCCCAAAAAAGTTCTGAATTTGAATTGGTTTTATCTCCTGTTTTATTTCTATGTACATATTATACACAGACATACACACACACACACACACACACACACACACACACACATAATGTGTTTGTGTGTGTGCTATTTCAACTGAATGTTGTCAACCACTCTGAATTATTTTTTTAATTTGAAAAAACTGAGTTCCAAGCAGATATCTCAACCAATGCTGGAGGAGGGCAACCCTAACACTCCTGACCCCACAACTTCTCTCAGCAAGGTCACTTTAATCTATCTTTGATGTCACTCAGGGCCAGCTCCACTGCATAGTGTCCCTGTGAAATGGCCCTGTAGTGGAATTGTTTTAGTGGGCTTCTCCTTCTTTGAGTGAGCCCTGGTGTGCTTATCCGATAACAGCAGCAGATGTTGGTAGAAGCAGCACTTCAATTAGTGCCAGACAGCTGTGAGCCACCATTTTAACTTCCCACAATGCCCCACATATGGTGTTGCTGCAGAGCACTGTGGAAAATAAAAATGGCAACTCCCAGACCCAATTACCTGGTACTGATCAGAGTTGGGGGGGGGAGGAATATCCACTGAAGGCAGTGCAGAGAAGGTTCTACCAGGTGGGTCTGAGCTGCTCTCTTGTGATGCTACATTTTGACAAGGAAAGTTAAACAATCTCTTCAGTTCATGCTGATGTTTCCATTGTTTTTGTAGCATGTAGCCCAGTCAGAAGAAAAGCCAAAAGTACTCAATGCATCCTGCCGAAAAAGGTAAGGAAAATGTTGCTTATTAAAGAGGGTATTTCTTCTCCACTGAAGCACAACATAGATCTCTCAAGATCATGGTGTGGAACCAACATATGCACTGGTACAAACACACACACCAAAAAACACAAAACCTGACATGGTTCATAAATTGCATGTAGGTTTTAAGGAAATTTCAAATGCAGCCTTTTCTACAACAACAAACCCACTATTGAGAATTACTGGGCAGAAGAGAGTGGACTTAATCCTTCTATCTGCAAATGATTTGCACCAGGCCATTTTAAACAAGTTTCATCCATCTGGGCTTAATTCTGGTTACAGAGCCCAGCTGCATAATAAACAGTCTAGAAGGGCATGTGCAGAGAAAAATCAGCTGGCCAAGAGAGGTTACATATCCTTACATCTCAGCTTCTGACCTGCTCTTATGTTTATATCACCTTGGCAAACATAAGATCTGGTGGAACAGGCATCTGGCACAATAACACAACCTCAAGCACATATCAACCTCAAGCACATCTGAAAATTGCACTCTGATCTGGAAGCCTCACAGCCACCTGTATCTCCTGGATGTAGTTGGAAGCAAGCTGTGTTGATTCACAAGTGGGAAAGAAAGGCACTCGTTTATGAGTTCCTTCCAGGGCTGAGTTTGGGCATCCAAATAAACTCCTGGAGCAAAAGTAAGTGAACCCTGGCTCAAATTAATTGTGCTCCTCTGCCAATAATATAAACCACCTGGGAACTGATATCTAATCGCAGTACAAACATATAATAAATGAATTGAACAAAGTAAAAATGTGCAATCATACCAATGAATGGCAAATATATATACAACATGAAGGGAGATTTTGAGGCCCAACTCCCCCCCCCCTTACAATGCAAAATATGGAAAATTAATTCCTAAAAAAAACTTGCCCCTTTACCTGCTCTTAGCAGCCTGAGATGATAGGACTTATTTCACCCTGGTAATCTTCATAGGTGCCCTTGTTTAATCCCAGACAAGGCAAAAATAGCAAGCACCCTTGGAAGCCTGCCAGAGTCTTTAATAGCAATAGCACGTTGAGTGTGCCAGGGCAGGGTTAAGTGCTGCCCAGTCATATGACCATCCCTGTGAATTAACCTCAGATGCCTCAACATTAACCGTTTCCTGATAGCAATGATTTTAAAGACTCTCCATGTGTCTGGGGGAATCCTACACAACCACTTTCCAGCAAAACATGAGCATACCAGTTTCTTGTTAATTCTTTGCATTGTATGCCCATCTCAGATCTGCAGGGTCCATTTGTTTTGAAGGTGCATAGGACTGAGCTATTTTAAATGAGGGCCTCCCCTGCTCCCCTTTCTTATGTCCCTTTAAAATCAGTGAGGAGAAACTTATGATGAGAGTGAGTCCTGCTGCCAAAGTGCACACCATCACAGTATGTATTAACAGCCTATCTTCTAAACTCAGAACAGTCCTCACCAACCTGGTGCCTCCCTCCAGACTTTTTGGGTCACAACTCCCATCAGCCCCAGCCAGCATTGGCTGGTGAATTCACCAGGATTGCTGGTGGGGAGTCTCCATCAAAACAACTAGAGGGCCCCAGGTTGGTAACGGTTGGGCTAGAACGTCCATACTATCAGAGGCAGGTTTAAGGGAACACAACCAGTTTGGTTGCACTGGGCGTGGAATTTTGGGAGTGCCACAGCCATGAGGTAGAATCAGAGGCACTGACTTGGGCCCCAGGTAATGGGTGCCCAATGGTGCCTGTGATAGAATGTGACATCATGACATCATGAGGTCATGACTTTACATTGCGGTGGTGGCTCTTCCAAGGCCTCGCAGGGTCTCAGAGATAACGTCCGAGACCTCATGAGACTTCCAAAAATGACTTCCAGTTTCTACCAGAAGTCAGATTTGGAGGCATGGCAGGGCCTCTGACGTCATCTGGGAGGCTGTGTCGGGGTTTTGACGTGACTTCTGGTAACTTTTGTGGGTTCCCTGGCACCCAGGGCCTCCTAGACCCGGCCCTATGGGTAGAATCCAAGGCGAGAGGCAGGTTTTGGAATATGAATAGATGCTAGGAGATGTTATATTTATTACAGGCTTCCTCAAACTCGGCCCTCCAGATGTTTTGAGACTACATTTCCCATCATCCCTGACCACTGGTCCTGCTAGCTAGGGATCAGGGACTTGTAGGCCAAAAACATCTGGAGGGCTGAATGTGAGGAAGCCTGATTTATTAGATATTATCCTTCCTTCCCCCTAATCAGCAGAGTGCCATCCCTTTGCAGCTTACAAGGAAGTTTAGATAGGCTAGTTTGGTCCCTTTAGCTTACGTAATCCAGGATGCTTTAAGGCAGAGGTGATTTTCCTGGTATTTTCCCCTTTTCTCCCCCTTAAGCTAACAATCAAACACAAAATGGATTTGTAAAAGGTAAAAAATAACATATACTCAGAATACTTATTGAACAGTAATGGATACAGCAGCTTTGTTCAGACAGACTTAAAATGGTAATTCAGTTACAAAGACATATTTAAGTCTAGCTCAAAATGTGGTCTGAGTTTGGACCTCAGACTTTGTAGGTGTCACATTGCTGGCAGAGCGGAAAGAGATGGAAAGAGGGTGTGCCCAGGCAGGTAGGAGGATATATAGCTATGCCCTCCCCTTGTCTGGGCACAGTGGGAGTGTCTCTCACAGAGTTCTCTCTAGCAAGTTTATAGGAAAACTCTGTGAGCTTCAGCTCCTATGATGCGCCCAGCTAGCAAAACATGAATAGTTGGTTTGACTGCATTTTAATTATCTTACAGAGTGGGGCACTGAATTTTGGCGTTGCGCAGGCACTGCTGAAATTTGAGACTCCAAGTTCCGCCACTGATGCTAATGAATAATGAGCAACAATCCAACCAGAGTTAGGAACTTTTAAATGTTGTAGAAGAGTTCAGGAGGTGCTTAGCCCTTTCTCCCATTGACACTGATAGAACATTCTATGAGTGATTTTCAAAATAAGTGCTTAGCATTGAATTGGCTCAGTTTTCTAGATTGTTAAGTTATTGTAGTTTTCTATAATGGAGACATTAATTCTTTAAATAAGAAAAAAAATAACAGTGAAGCAAGTGAAAGACTTGCATAGTACAAATTAATTTAGTTTTGGCTTCTGGAGCTGAATTGATTTTAGTTCCAAAAACTTTTTTGCAATGCATTTGTGATGCACAGCTTTCCTATTTTCCTTCTCCTTCCTGTTGGTTTTATCAGAATTTTTTCTATTGTTTGTAAAAGCCAGCTCTCCCTCATTGTTTGTAAATTCTAGTTGTTGGCTTATTGAAGAATAACATGAAAATAGCCACTGAAGGTGTTTTGCAAGGCTTTCTGCTGCAGGACTCCACACAGTGCAAGAAGAAAAGCTTGCCTGGCAAATGGAACAAGTAGCTGCTGCTGAAACAAATAATATCTTTTTAAAATCATAAATCAAATATTTAGGGAGCTGCTTTCTAATGCTTCTTAGTTTGGATGAGACTGCCATTCATCTGAATAATGGCCAAACTCACATTAGCTTTTCTGATACAATTAGAAAAGAAAAGTGACTTCAAGATAATCCCAGAGATTTACCTTGCGTGTTCATAATGACCTAGAGAAGCTTGAAATCCTGTTTAGATCTAAACTGTGCTACCACAGACTTGGCTTCCTGACCTACATAAGTTATCCCAACTTATTACTGCATGGCATTAGGCCCACATATACCCAAGTGATTTGGACATATTCTGTTTTCTAAAAAAGAAAATAAAATAGTATTGGTAGTAAATGAAACAAACACATATGGAAGAATAATGCAGCAGTAGTTTCTGTCTGTGTTAATGGCAAGATACTCTTGCTTCTCCGTTTGTGTGTGTTGCTATCTCAAGACATAGAAATAAAGGTAGATGTTGTATAACTTTCTCTTGAATTCTACCACCAATATGCTAATAGCGTCTCATTGTTATAAAAGAGGAACTATCCCTGCATTACAGGAGGAACATAGTTGTCACCCCTCTGTGGTAGTTTCCTACTTCAGTAACATCAGAACCCATAATACCAGTAGTTGGGTCACTTAGGATGGATCAAATGACATGGTCATTTTCCATAGCAGCATTGTCTGCCTTCAAGTAGACAGAACAATACAGGCATGGGACGTAGCCAAACAATGACAACAACTTATTTCTTGTACCCCGCCCATCTGACTGGGTTGCCCCAGTCACTGGGCAGCTCCTGTCTCTTCCACGGGATCTGTTGGGTCTGCCATGACCCCAGCAGTGACCAGGACAAGTTAGAGGCTACAGAGTCAACATTTGACCTGATGATGGTGATCAGGAGACCACTGAATCCAAAGCAGGCAGGCAGAAGCCTATAAACCGGATCCCACAGTATCAGGACCCATAAAACCAGGCCCAAGACTCTTATGGGTGCCTTATGCTGGACCCAAGTAGTTTCCAAATTATATCGTCAGTCCAATGGTGCAGGAAGCACACAAGACAATATTCTATTTTTCCTGGTTGGGAGAGAAGGAGAGATTTCTCTGTCCAACCCTTTTATTGCATTCTTGCTAACTTTAAACCTTTTAGATAACTGTAGAAAGATAGAGGAGTAACATAATAGGGTATTACCTTTTCTGGCTATCAGCTTAGTTACAGTTTTCATAATGATAATATAGCAGAACTTTTAATTATTTTTTTATGGGCAAAGAGGACAACAATGCTTATTCTACACTGTAATTACCATTATGCATAGACTCAGGCATTGAATCTATGCATAGACTCAGGTTATACACGGCACATGTAATTAGTCGGATTCACCTCTTCCCTGTAGGTGGTAGCAGTGTCTGACTATCATCTTCAGGGGACAGAGGAGCTGCTGTCACACCAAGGTGATCTCATTCAAGTCTTCTGCAAAGATGAAGAAGGGCAGGGATTCAGTCATGTGCAGAACAGGCAGCAAGGATTCTTCCCTAGTCCCTCCAAATGTTCGGCAAGACACAGTAAGTCTCAGCAATATATTTAGTACTCAGGCTTACTAACTGTCCAGAGGTATGGCCTTGCAATAAAAATAATGAGCCCTTTGGTACAATGAGTTTTGTTTTTGTTTTTGTTTTGTTTTGTTTTTTTGCAGCATGAGTCAAACACAAAACATCTTTGATACAGCATTCAACTTTTCCATTTGAAAAAGTCAATATTAAATAATATTCTATTGGGAGCCACCCAGAGTGGCTGGGGAATCCTAGCTAGATGGGTGGGCTATAAATTTATTATTATTATTATTATTATTATTATTATTATTATTATGCTGGTAACAATGCTGCAGGATGTATATTAGCCTACAGAAAAAGGATCTGTGTGGATAATCCGGCTATCCATTTTAATCAGAATGGATGACAGTTCCACCGTGAAAGTATTAAGGAAGAATTTCAGAGAAATATATGATGCTCAAACATGCCTATAGAAGGCAGAATATCACAGGAAGGAATGCTTGTTCCTTATCTCCACAGAATAGGACATATTTTATTGCAAGTGTCCTTTCCAACTCCACAATTCTACGATCACACTTTCAAGTACTATTGCCAATGAGGTCACTTATATTTGAAATACTGATTTGGCAAGCGGAGGTCTCATAGCAAGAAGGAGTGTGTGAAAAAGCTACATTCCCCTGTTATTAAATTTCCGCCTCCACTGAGCGCTGCAGTTAGGTAATTTTAGTTTCTGGTCTTTCTGGAGCCCCCATTTTTAGATTGTTGTATGTGTTGCTTCATAATGTGGTTGGGGTCCTCCTGTTCATTCTGCTAAGTGGGTCTCTGGACTTGTGCTTTAATGTCCTTTTCTGATGGCATCACTGCCATAACCAGTCTGTCTCATTTCTGAGGACACTGGTCCCAGGAGTTGGCTGCAGACAGCCTTTTATAGGGTCCCGCAGCCCTCCCACCTGGCCTGGCTGGATTGGCCAGGATTCAGGCTATGGACAGGCTATGGCGGGAGAGCCCACCAATCTCCAGCAGCTGGACTGGGATTCCTCACGATCAGCCACCTCATCCTAGTGTTCCTTCCAAGGGGGAGGAGCCCAGCATGATGGTTACTTGTGACTAGGTAAGCAGCCATTTTCATTCCTTGGCAGCATGTATACACATATGGACGAATGACTCAGATGGCAGAGCACAGTCCACATTCCAGTTCTCTCTACAGTACATTTTACCCAAAGTTTCTCCTTTCTATTTTTCATTGCAGCTGGAATTTCTAAACAAAGGTCATTCTGCTATAGCAGTAGCCTGCCGGATGCAAAGACTTTGGTAAGTAACACATACGTAATATAAAACCAACTACCTCTGTGCAATATCATGGGACTCCTGGTGACTGCTACAAGTCCTGTGAGTGTTTCAGTCAAAAATTCATGTGACATCCTTAATCTTCTTATAAAAGAGGTCTTTGCACTTACATTAATCACATCCTCCTTCCGATACAAAAAAGATCAAAAGCAAAGGTTGCAAACACACACAAAAACCCTGTAAAAACAAATCTAAAAAAATTATCAGACAACAACACAGGCATTAAATTTTTTTTACATGATGCATACAAATCCAGCAATTGTATGAAAGGATAGCAATATTAAGATGATATTGGCATTGGTGTATCAGATATAATCTTTTCTCAGCCTCCCAACACCACACTCTCTAGTCTCACTATTTGTTGATTGATTTTTAAAGTTTATATCCTGCCCGCTTTATAAAATAATCCAAATTGGCTGACAGTATATCTATGAAAACTATTATTTTATGGGTGAACAAACAGTCCAAGCTTGAACTATTAGGGTCACCCACTGATGTCTGCCATGCATATATGATGTCAACATTCCCTCTTCTACCAAGTTCTTAGATGTGTGCTAGCTATTATTGTGTTCTGTTTTTATTGCATCTTGACATTTTTATTTTATTCCCACCCACCCCCCATTTCCCTATAATTTAGCAGCCTCAGGGATCCCCAGTCTCCCATCACAATGCAAGATGGATTGCGGCCACAGAACCAGCCATGAGGGATAGTGTATTTGCAGATGAGTAAGTTTCTTACCATTACCCTCTCCTCTAATTCCACAACTATTACTTGGGCTACCAAACTCAAAGTCTATAAGAACCAATGACACACTACTCAGACTGAAGATCACTGACATCCCAAAATGCAACTTTTAAGAAGTTAAAGAGTATCTGTAAATAAGTAAAAGAGGAAAGAGTCCAAAGGCTGCTGGAAGAGCATACTTTGCATGCACAAGATCCCAGACTGAATCCACAACATCCCATACACGCTTACCTAGAAGGAAGTCCCATTGAATGCAATGGGATTTACTGCTGAGCAGGCACATATAGGATTGCACTGTTATTTTCTATTTTCATTATAAGTTTTTTATTCTGGTCCAGGATTACTTAATCTGCTGTGCTGGTTTTTAATGCTCACATGCTATCATATGATCTTCTTCTGCTTTGATGTTTCATATGTCTTTAAATTTAAGTGATCATTGCCTTGCAAGGACAATGGTCCTGAAAGGCAGGGTGGAAAAGCATTAAATAAACAGCAGGCGTCCAAAGATGTTGCCTGAAATATCAGGGTTTTCTGTACTACAAACTTTTTTTTTAAGGCAGTTTAATTGTCATGGCTTCTCCAAGGAACATTGGGAACTATAGTTTGGTGAAGGTGCAGAGAATTCCATTAGAGCAGCCCAGCCTGGTGTCCTCTAGATATCGTGGACTATAGCTCCCATCGGCCCCATTTGGCATGGCCTTGCTGACTGGAGCTGATAGAAGCTGTTGTCCAAAACATCTGAACAAGAGATGATGCTTAGGAGGCTGCTCTCATGGATGCAGTTAGAAATATATATATATGCGCAATTCTAACTGCATCCATATAGGTATATATATATATATATACGCAGGTGGCACTGTGGGTTAAACCACAGAGCCTAGGACTTGCTGATCAGAAGGCCGGCGGTTCGAATCCCCGCAACGGGGTGAGCTCCCGTTGCTTGGTCCCTGCTCCTGCCAAACTAGCAGTTCGAAAGCACATCAAAGTGCAAGTAGATAAATAGGTACTGCTCCGGCGGGAAGGTAAACGGTGTTTCCGTGCACTGCTCTGGTTCACCAGAAGTGGTTTAGTCATGCTGGCCACATGACCCGGAAGCTGTACTCCAGCTCCCTCGGCCAATAAAGCGAGATGAGCGCCGCAACCCCAGAGTCGGTCATGACTGGACCTAATGGTCAGAGGTCCCTTTACCTTCATATATATATATATATGTGTGTGTGTGTGTGTGTGTGTGTGTGTGTGTGTGTGTGTGTGTGTATGTGTATGTATATATATATATATATGCTTTCGTAGATTTTCACGGGTACAGGAATGCAGGTTTTGGTGTCCTCGGGTGTCTTCCCGTGTAAAAGTTGGGGTGTCTAGGCGACGTTTCGACGAGGTCTCACTCGTCATCTTCAGGCTGGTGCTTTCGGCTTCTTGTTACTGGAACAGAGCCCTCTGTTCCAGTAACAAGAAGCCGAAAGCACCAGCCTGAAGATGACGAGTGAGACCTCGTCAAAACGTCGCCTAGACACCCCAACTTTTACACGGGAAGACACCCGAGGACACCAAAACCTGCATATATATATATGGTATATATATATATACATACATATAGTATTTTAACAATAGAAGACAAAAATGGTGAAAAAAAGTTTTAATAAATCGTTTGACAAAACGGTGAACACCAAATAATTATTCTGAAGGAACTTAATCTTGAAATGTTGAATCTGTTCCCACTTTCAACTATAGGCACAGAAGGTCCTTGCAGAAAAGTACTGAAGATGACATAAGCCCAACTCAAGGAACGGAGGAGGCCTCTTTACCTCTAACGGGCAGCATTTTGCATGGAACACCAAGCCTCCTGCGGAAAATATGGATGAAACATAAAAAGAAGTCGGAATATTTGGGGGCCACAAACAGTGCCTTTGAGGCAGACTGACAACCCTCAGCCTTGCTTGTGCAAGCAGAGGTGTCTCCAACAAAGTACAGAACGCTGTCACATTTACCTGATAGCAGATGTAGTGTGGCACACACTTATCCCAAAAAACAAAACAAAACTTCTACAGAATCCACGGGGGACGGGGTGGGCGAGTTTAAAGACTGCATCCTATGCAAACAATTCAGCTCATATATTTTGCACATGCTTCTGATATGCTTCTTGTTAACAGATTCAACTGTGATCATTGCATCAACCCAGCATTTCTTATTCTGTCCTGGTTCATCTGGATTTGTTGGGAAAGGCCAAGAGAAATTACTGTATCCTCAACAGACCTCATGTCAACGACACTGTGCCATTTAAAGTACAGTCCTGCAATTTAACGGGACGCGGGTGGCGCTGTGCCATTTAAAGTACAGTCCTGCAATTTAACGGGACGCGGGTGGCGCTGTGGGTAAAAGCCTCAGCGCCTAGGGCTTGCCGATCGAAAGGTCGGCGGTTCGAATCCCCGCGGCGGGGTGCGCTCCCGTCGTTCGGTCCCAGCGCCTGCCAACCTAGCAGTTCGAAAGCACCCCCGGGTGCAAGTAGATAAATAGGGACCGCTTACAAGCGGGAAGGTAAACGGCGTTTCCGTGTGCGGCTCTGGCTCGCCAGAGCAGCGATGTCACGCTGGCCACGTGACCCGGAAGTGTCTCCGGACAGCGCTGGCCCACGGCCTATAGAGTGAGATGGGCGCACAACCCTAGAGTCTGGCAAGACTAGCCCGTACGGGCAGGGGTACCTTTACCTTTACCTTACCTGCAATTTATCGTGCGATGATACTTCGGCAAATGATTTCTTTAAATCAGTGATATGCAGGCTTTCAGGTTCAGAATCAACTTGTTTGCTTAGGAACCTCTGAGCATGACAGAGGATTCGCAGAAGAATTCTACTGCAATAGTTCAGTTCACCTAAATGAACTGTTCACCTACTTTTGCACCACATCAACAGAGAGTGCACCCTTGCACAGAGATGAGGGAATCTGTGGCGCTCCAGAGATTCCTGGACTCCAACCTCCATCAGTCCCAGGCAGCATGGCCAATGGTCAGGGATGATGGGGGTTGTAGTCCAGCCCACCATATCATATGCTCAACACTCAAGGTGGTGGTCAACCTGCCTTTCCTGTTATCTATTACTGATATTCTCATCAATGCCTGCTCCACTCTTTCTCACACACATGCAAACACTAAACTTCCAAAGAACTCTTGGGTTCTTTGGTTTGAAACTGTTGTTCTAAACTATGCCGTTACCAGAACTGGCCTTTGCTGCCTGAGGCAACGTACACGATGGTGTCCCTCCTCCCCATTCGACATACAGAAGCCATGGAGCTGGCAGTGTAATCTGACATTGACACTGATGCCAGAAAAGCATCTTCCGCCACACCTGAGGCTAGTAGGCTACCTTAGGGATGTCAAGATAAGCTATGTGGGGAAGGGTCATAGCTTTGCATGCAGAAGGTACTGGGTTCAATCATTGGCAAATCCAAGTAGGGCTGGGAATGTCCACTGTCTGAAACCCTGTAGAGCCACTGTTGGCCAAGGCAGACTGAGCTAGAAGGACCAGTGGTCTGATTCAGTAAAAGGCAGCTATCTAGGTGGCACACATTCTGCCTTCCAGCACCTTGCTGATGTTTGCTCACTGCTCTGCCTGACGTTTGCTTGCTGCCAACTCAAGCAAAAGCTGCAACACAGCAGTAGCAATGGGAGCATGCAGCATGAGAGCAGAGCGACACATGCACACATGTGGGAAATCTGCTGGAAGATGTGGGGTGGCCACCTCTATGCCTGTTTGGCTCAGTCAAGGACCTTTCCTAATCCTGCTATTTGTGATACACTGGAAGAAGGCAACTAGGTAGGACAAACAGCCCAGGTTGAAAGATTTATCACAAGGTGGGTGGTACTGTGGGTTAAGCCACAGAGCCTAGGACTTGCCGATCAGAAGGTTGGCGGTTCGAATCCCCGCGACGGGGTGAGCTCCCATTGCTCGGTCCCTGCTCCAGCCAACCTAGCAGTTTGAAAGCATGTCAAAGTGCAAGTAGATAAATAGGTACCGCTCTGGCGGGAAGGTAAACGGCGTTTCCGTGCGCTGCTCTGGTTCGCCAGAAGCAGCTTAGTCATGCTGGCCACATGACCCGGAAGCTGTACGCCGGCTCCCTCAGCCAATAAAGCGAGATGAGCGTCACAACCCCAGAGTCGTCCGCGACTGGACCTAATGGTCAGGGGTCCCTTTACCTTTACCTTTACCACTTGCTCATGAAGATGAGAATGATCAGAATGACTGTACCCTGGCTTCTCTTCAGATCATATTAATCTTTCACCTTTTACTAAAGATCAGAATGACTGTCACTGTCTCCTAGCATTTGCCGCCTGAGGCACCTGCCTCATGGTAGGACCAGCCTGAGCAGCTGATTTTTTTCTCAGATTAAAAAAAACCAAAACATTAAAGAAATGTACCACTCTGTGCAGCCATGTATCATCACATCCAAAACATTATGTTGCCAGAAATCATAATAACTAAATTCATTGAATAACAGTGCATCAGTGGCTAGTTAGCGGGAAAGTATTGCATGTGGAAAGGCCCCCACTTTAGCTTTTGGTTATATGTGAAATAATAGCTTTAAACAGTATTGAGATGGGGAATGCGCGTTATTATATATTCTGTCAACAATTGTTGTATTTTAAAACATGTTTTCTTCTAATTTATTTAATTTATAAGTCAGAGATATCTAATGTAAGATTTCAAAAAACAAAGTTGTAGTTTAATTTTATATTCCCTAACACTAATGAAGCTTTTTCTTACATGTAGCAAGTACTTGTTTTAGTGTTCCAAATAAATGATGTCCTCTTCAGGCACACAGTTCCATGGGGCCCGGGGGCAGGGAAGAGAGAGCTGCTCTACATGAATTTACAAGGAGTGACTTTATGATGATATCACTTCTGCCATCCTGCTTTTCAGACAAATGCAAGAAGAGTAGAGAAAACTGCAATCACTCAGTGCTTTACTTGATTACCTTTTTTCTTTTTTAAAAACAAGCACAGTTCCTCAACATGTTTGACTAACAACGTTTCCACAAGAGTATTTCAAAACTAAAAAAGAATTATATGACAAACTATGGTCAGGACAATTTGCCTTGGCTAAGGGCTGTTAGCACATTATGGCTGCAACCCTAAATACGCTTTCGTGGAAACAAGCACTACTGAATACAGTGGGACTGACTTCTGAGTCCATAATGCACGAGACTGCACTGCACAGGGTACTAACAGTGCAACCATATATATGTCTACATACAGCCTACTACTCCCCCCTCCCCAACTCATAACACTATGGATACCCTTCCCAGGAGTCTTTGATGGCGCAGCCGGCCTGAACAGCTGGTAATCTGAGTAGAACAGATGCTGTATCACAGGTTAGATGACTGCCCTTCTTTTGTCCTCGTTGCAGCCTTCAGAAACAGGCCAAAACTAATGCAGCAATTATACGCTCCATGTTTGCTTGTTTTTGTTTTTGTTTAAAACAGCTGTGGCCCAGTTGGCACACTTCTCACCCAAACTATTTGGTGAACATTTTTAATCCATGTTACAGGTTAGGACAAAAATTACTCTGGTTGGTTCGTAACCCAGATTTTACAGTGTTCCGATATACAAGTTCACTCAGGGAGAAATAAGTTCCATTAGGTTTATCGGTGCTTTTTTTCTTAAAAAAATATGTTTAGGGGTACTCTCATTTTCCTACTCATATTGAAATACTGCCCCTCAATGCGGCCCAACCTAGATTCACAAAATGTTTAGGGGTATGCGTACCCCCAGAAAAAAGCACTGGGTTTAGTGGATCTTACACCAAGGAAGTGGGTATAGGATCGCAGCCTCTGTTATCCGAGTTTAAGGCATGCTGTTTGCCCAATACATATTTATTTCCAAGGTGGAAACTAATCCCATGAAAAGCGCATGATAGTACTAGGAGGCCCCTGGCAGCCTAAATATGTCATGTACAGAAGGGCAGACTTGACTGAGCTTCAGTTGCATCGCTTGCTCTGAACCTATTGTAACTCATCTCTTAGACCAGGTAATCTTCTCTACGTAATCAAGGAGCCTCAACAGGCTTTACTGGGATGGGCAACTTATGGCCTTCCAGACACTGATGTTTAGAGCGAATTACAAGCAAGTGAATATATATGCTAACTACATGACTTTTGTGAATTTACGAAAGCACACCCATTCACTAAAACTGAAATGGCATGGTATTATTGCCGCCACCACCATTTGCTATTCAGTTTGTACCAAAAAAATAAATAAATTACAAACAGGTATAATGAATGAAAAGCCAAATTTAAAACAGTACATCACGCAAAATTCCTACAATTCCACAATAAAAAGTGCAAGTTACCAGATATAATATGTACCACAATATAATATGTACCACAATATAATAAAAAGTCCGGGTACCAGATAAGTCCTAGATACCATGTTCTAGATATCAGGCTCAATTTAGTTTAATGTGTCTTTCTTCAAAAAGGAAATGCCTTTTATTGGGATAGGATCATTTAAGTTTGGGGACAGCCAACTTCTGTAGTCTTGGAGAACTACTTTCATCTACAGACAGAGTGCTGGAAGATAAAAGAGTATGCCACAAAAACTCAGTAACTCACAAAGTAAAGTTGATGGCATTGAGCAGGAAAAGCTTCATAGTTATGGTGCACATTGGACAGTTATAACCAGGATTTGACACACAAAGCGACCCACTACCAAAGATACCATCCCGTCTGTCTGTCTGTCTAACACACACACTTATCTTTGAGTAGAACTTAGTCAACATTTTACTGCACCTTGTTAAAAGTTGGTAGGATCAGCAGCACTCTATTGAAATTGCTTTGGGTGCCCTCATTTGACCTGCACTGGGCCATTCCTGATGTGCTCTCTCCCCTGTAATATACTCTTAAAATATGTTTTTGATCCCCCAGATGATACACACGCTATGATCTCTGAGCAGTGAGAGCTTTCAGCAGGTCAAGGTCATGGCCTGGGTTGGTTTCCTTTGAATAAGGTCACAAGGTTTTAAGTGTGTACACACAGAGAGGTTGACTCCAACAGATTTTGCTCCCCATCGTATTTTTAGTGGAACTCTGCAGCCTTCGATTCTCGGAGAGCAAAATCAGGCCTTGTGTTTTCGGACTCCATTCCAATGCTGTCTGTTGTCTTCTTACTCACATCCACTCTGACACACTTACACATTGATAACTCACCTACAGCTGTGTGTAAGTTGGGGTAAGCAGACAAACATGTTATTTTTGCTGCTCTTGAATTATCTCTAGTTATTTAGTTCTTGTGAAACGATA